AACAATGCAGTGTGGGAGACATGACTTTCTTTCTTCTTTTCTTTCTCCTCCCGCCCCCCCCCCTTTATTGATTAAGGTATTACAAATGTGTCCTTATCCCATGAGTCATGACTTTCTAGAAACCCACTTGCTCTAGCCATTCTCGTTCCCTAGTGGCTTCCGATCCTCAGGGCACTGGCACTGGGCTGAGGGGCAGGGGCACAAGGCTCTCTCATAGAAGAGTTTCACCCAATATAATAGTCTGCTAGAGCTGCCATAACAAAACACCATAGATGGGGTGGCTTAACCAATAGAAATTCATTTTCTCACAATTTGGGAGGCTGGAAGCCTAAGATCTGTAGGTTTGGTTTCTCCTGAGGCTTCTTTCCTTGCCTGGATGGTGGCCACCTTCTTGCTGTGTCTTCACGGGGTCTTTTCTCTGTGGTACACATCCCTGGAGACCCTCTGTGTCCTAATCTCCTCTTCTCACAAGGACACCAATCATATTGGATTAGGGCCCTCTCTAATAGCCTCATTTTAACACAATCATCACCTTTTTAAAGGCCTTACCTCCAAATACAGTCAGATACTGAGGTACTGGGGGTTAGGGCTTCGACATATGGAAGGGGAGGCACAATGCATTCCACAGTGACAAACTAGCATCTTTAAACTGGGAGGAGGGGAGAGAAAAGGGGGGGGAGAAAATGAGCCCAGTAGGAAGATGAGCTAATTCAGAACATATTGAGCACAGTCCATGGACAAAAAATTACATGTATATTTAATTAGTTAGGCACTAGAAAAGGAGACTAAGATTGCTGATTACTAACCCTATAGACAAACTGGGTAACATCAAAGGCTAGATCACAGGGGACATTAAAATCTAATACTCACTCTGTCTTCTTTATTTAGGGCAGAGAAGATTGCTACCATCTTGGTGAGTGATGGATGCAGAGGGCACACCTCCATGGGCATTAGTCTTAAACAGTTGCAGGTAAGATAAAGCACAGGCAACGACAGAACTCAGCTGCACGAGTTCCATGGGAGTGAAGTGCTTTTTGCACCAGGACAATCTGCTAAAGGCATCATTTATATCATTGGCCAATAGCTTAACCAGTCCTCCTGTTAACAATCGTACATTATCTTCATAGAACCTGCTTCCTAGGAAATCCACAGCCCATTGAAAAAACCTGTGGGAATCCAAATCTGACTTTTTTCCACAGACCCAGAAAAAGGTATACATCCAAGAGAAAGCAAGGAGAAAGAGAAACATGGGAAAGAAAGAGAAAGAACAATAGAATATCAAGAGTGTCCAGAATAAGCCCTAGCTGTTTTGGCTCAGTAGACAGAGCATCGGCCTGCAGACTGAAAGGTCCCAGGTTCGATTCTGGTCAGGGGCACATGCCCAGGTTGCAGGCTCAATCCCCAGGAGGGAGCATGCAGGAGGCAGTCAGTGATTCTCTCTGATCATTGTTGTTTCTATCTCTCTCTCCCTCTCCCTTCCTCTCTGAAATCAAAAAGAGTGTCCAGAATAAATTCGGCACCTACCGCAGGGTATGCCCAGCAATGAGAGGGGACAGAGCAACTGGGGAGGAGGCAGCTTTCCAGGCTCTGAACAAGGCTGTCACCATGTGGCTTCATAAGTTGTGAGTTCTTCCCACCATGAGGTGCAGGTAAGTGAGCATTATCAGGTAGAGACAAATAGCTACCATGTACACACATCAAGAAAGGTTTGGTCAATGGGCCCAGGCATGACGGATGCCTTGCCCAGTGCTCAGTATCACCTCAACCCTGAACCCTAAACAAGTTGAATCCAACTGATCAGGAAGCAGGAACCAAAAGGTCTCAGGCTGGTCCAGATGGAAAATGCTATGATTGTCCCTTTGGGGAATCCTCAGTAAAGCATAGAAGAATCTTATGGCCAGGTCAAGGTTACTAGCTTCACTGGTTCACCTAGACAGGCCTGTTTTGTGACAACCTCCACCGGCTGGGTTTTGATGGTGAGTAAGGGCATCTGGTACATAGCTAATGTTATACTGGGAAATGTTTTTGCAAATTACTTGTAAATGACTGTTGTCATACTTAACTTTTGAACTTTACTGTGTGAAAGACCATTATTTAGTAAAAATGATATGTAATTAAAAATTAATTCATACTTGAATAAAGTCTGTTGATTCGTTAATATTGGGACCATATGAATTTCCTAATTTTGATCACTGTATTCTAGTTATGTAAGATATGAATAGCCCTCGCTGGTTTGGCTCAGTGGATAGAGCAGCGGCCTGTGGACTCAAGGTTCCCGGGTTCGGTTCCGGTCAAGGGCATGTACCTTGGTTGCGGGCACATACCAAGTAGGGAGTGTGCAGGAGGCAGCTGATTGATGTTTCTCTCCCATCGATGTTTCTAAGTCTCTATCCTTCTCCCTTCTTCTCTGTAAAAAAATCAATAAAGTATACTTAAAAGCAGTGAAAATAAGGAACCCCTTTCTTAAAAAAAAGAAGATATGAATATTTGGGAATGCTGGGTGAAGGGTATATGGGAATTCTTTGAGTATTTTTTTGCATATTTTTAGAGCTGAAATTACTTCAAAATAAAAAGTTAAAAGAATGTTTTTAAAGATTTAAAAAGGTAAATGATAGGGCCTGACAATTTATCCATAATTTGTGCCTAGGGGGCCTAGACCCAGAAAAAAAGTACTCCTTCAGCCTCTTTGCTTTGCTGCCAAAGTAATGAAATCCACTGTTGGTCAGATGAAATAGCAAATATGACTGTTTTTGCTACAGTAAACTCCTAAACAAATGGCAATGGTAATAATTACAGTCTCATGTGGAGATGCTTTTCTATAAATAAAAGGAGGAACAAGCCATTATCCTAAATACACCAGCAATATTACAAAATGCTTAGAAATTGCTATTCTGGCAGGAGGCAACATGGAGTCATAGACAGGTTTGAGCAAAATAGGCATCTAATAACAGCCATACTACAGGAAGCTTCAATCAGGCCTCTAGTATACAGGGCGGGTAAAGTGGGAAGAGACCAGACTCAGCCACTGGGGAGTTATTCTAACAGCTGAGGAGGGAGCGAGCTCACAGATGGGAGGGAAGAAATCTAGACCACAGGCATTTTGAAGGACTCACAGGTCTGGGAAGGACCAGCCTGGAGGTGTGGGCAGAAAGAGAGAAATGAGTCAGTGGCTACTTGAAGATGTCTCACCCAGATTGAGGCAATGTGGTGATGTCATTGAGAGACAGATGGAAAGTGGAAGGAAGGCGACAACATACACAGAGACTGGGCTGAGGACTCAAGTGGCTGCAGTGGCCAGGCAGGTGCAAAGGGGGAAGACAGGCATGGGGGCTGAGCGACTAACCAGGGTGCCCCCAAGGGGACTGACACAACTTGGCATCCGCAGTCCTTGCCCTGTGGTGTCCGTGTTACCAGATCTTCCTCTTTTTTTTTTTCACAATAAAATCCAGAAATCTAGCTCTGTTATGGGAAACCTCTTAACTCTTTAGTATTGGCAATTAATTTAATATTTTTTGAAGCATGGTGTATGCCAAACCAAACACATCTGTGGGCCAGATTCTACAGGCAGGGATTCATTGTGACCTCTGACAAAGAGATGAGGTTAAGGGTTGAAGTTCATAAACTATCTTGATGAGATAAGTGACTGAAAGGTATTTGGTAACTAAAATACTATACGCAAGACTTGTACCAGGAATCTGAGCTGTATGAATGTCCCTACCCTTCAAGTCTATGTATGGGTTGAATTTATACAGGAAGTTGGATCTAAACCGCCAGTGGTTAAATCACAAGAATTTTCATGCTTACTAGTACTGTGTACTGAGTACACAGAAGTCAAGGAATTTCAAATCTAACTGGGGAAGAAAATACATGCCCCCCTGAAAACTTGAGACAACTTATGAAACAATAATTTCTCTGGGGGAGATGCTTTCTCCACATTGTGCTAGAATAGCAACGGCTTTAAATCCTGGATTCTTTCCCCAACCCCATCACACCCCCTTCTGGGAGTCCAGAAAGGAGGCAAGCCTAGCAATAATGCGTGTGTGTGTGTGTGTGTGTGTGTGTGTGTGTGTGTGTGTGTACTTGAATCTGTGACCAGATTTCTAATTCCCTGGGCAGTGGTTACCAAGCCACAGCCTCTGCCGACCTCTCACTTGGGAGGGGCGCTAGCTGGGTTGGGGGTTACCTGGGCGCCGAGTGGAGGGTGAGAGCGGCGAGCGGAAACCGCACCCTGTCAAGTGTCTCCGCTCGAGTCCTGTGTTTTGTTCCTGTCATTACTCTTTCAGGGTCTGTGTAGGAGCAGGCAGGCACCGAAATAGAAAGTGTCAAAGCGCTGGTGACAAGGAGGATAAACAAGGCCGGGCTGCTTTCGGTCCCACCGAGCCCCCTCCGTCCCGAATGCCCGCGCGCCCCCTCCCGCCCCTGCCCAGCGCCGTCGGTGGCGCAGGAAGCGGCGGCTCGGCGGCGGGCGGTGCTGGAGGGAGAGCCGCGTTTCCTCCGCGCTGCCCAGTGATCGCCAGCGCCCCAGCCGCTCGGCGAGCCGCGCGATCTCTCCCCCACCCCGCACTCCTCAACCCACCCACCTACTTCCTCCGCTCCTCACTCACACAGGCACGGAGCTGCCAAAAATTTCCACCCCCGCCCCCCTCCCTCGCGAACTTCCTTCCAGCGTTTCCTGAGCTGGATGATCCTAGGATTTGTAAGACAGGAAAAAAGGGAAGGCGCGAGGGCGGGCGAGGGAGACAGGATGCTGCTGGCTGTGCCTTCTCCCGAAGCCGTCTGAAGGCAGGACCGCGGGCTCCGAAAGTCCCTGGGACTCCAAGTGAGGAAGTGACACTCCCTAGCCAGCCGGCCCCCAACTGCCAGCTCCGCACGGCCTGCGGCACCGCGGCCGGGGAGGAGCGCGCCGTGGGTCTCAGGCTCCGCGCCGCGCCGCCCCGCGGGG